TTTCATTGAGGTTGGCTATAATAACAGAATCTTGCAAGTCTGATTTATGTATATATGTCACTGCCCATCTCATCAAAAACAACTCTGGGCAGTTTACAAAGCAGTTAAAATCAATTATTATGATTGTGTTGTACTTCTTCCCCTTCTTATACCCATGTGAATTAGGGAGGTGACTGTCTGAGCCTCTTCTGCATACTTTCTGCTTGTTTTGGACTTAAGTTATGTTTTTCCCCTTGTTTTTGTAACAGAGCTGGCATAACCTTGTCAAGGTCATCTTCCTTATACTCTATAGTACTGTAGCCTTCCCATACCTGGCACCTTCCAGAAGTCCTGGGACTGCAACTCCCAGAAATTTCCATTCTGTTTGCGAATTTGTTGGGGGGGAAGCTGAAATCCCAAAATATCTGGAACTCTGCTGTATTGCATAGGGCCCAGTCTTCCCTATTACTTTTAGTATTATTCCTTTGCTCTTAATGATCTTTAGTAATTACTGTCAAAGGAATGGTTACTCCTCCCCTGTTTTGTTCATACCATACTCTGGTTTCCAACTGATAATGTTCTTGTCACTTAATCTCACCCTGTCACATTTTGTCCCTCCTTGGAAAAAGACTAACGGACTGGTGTGTGTGTAAGTCTCATAGCACTGTCCATGGTGAAGGTTTCAGATGTGGCTTTGTATGCCCCCATAGAATTTCAGAGACAGCTGTGCATGCTGCCTTATGGAGATTCTTAAAAAGATGCATAAATGCTGCATGCACAACTTTCTGGGGCTCCTCTTGACTAAGAATTCCTGGCTTTAAGATAATTAGAGAATATGTTTCATGTTATTTTCAGAATGAATTATGTGTAGAGCTTTCATGGTGTCTCTTAGTTATAAAAGAGGTGCTTTACATGGCTGCTAGTCCTTGTCATGGCAGTTTTAGAACTGTGTTTGGCTTTCTTGAGGTAGTTGCATTTCAGTATAGGGAAAAAGAAAATGCTAACTTACAGGCTGTCCTAATGGCCCTTGGCAATCTGGTTTTCCTTTTTCAATTACCTTGTTTTCTTCTTCTTTCTGTAATGTAGATTTCTTCATGTGCAAATTTGAATTAAAATGATATTGAGTCAAGATAGACAAAGAAGTACTTCTTTATGTAGGTCTTACTTAAAACTGTGGAGTTCACTACCATAAGATGTCAAAATTGATTGATTATATGCCATAAAGTCACTGTCAACTCTTAGCAACCACATAAATAGATCTTCTCCAGGATGCATAAGCAGATTGCCACCAAGTTGTCATTATTTTAAAAAAAAAATTATGCAAGTTAATAGGGGACAATAAAGCTAGGGAAACTGAGTATGGTCTCCTGCAGGTTACGTTCTTTAAAAATGGTTTTTAATGGTTTTTATTGTTTTTAATGTTTTAAAATATTTTTGCAATTACGTTTTTGGCTATTTTGTTGTATTGTTTTTGTTTTTAACTTTGTATGATACTGAGAGTCACGTATGTAAGATAAGCGGCTCTATAAATTCCACCAAGTAAATAAATGATTCATAAATAAAAATACTTCCCATAGGATCAGAGGCAGATGCTGGAAAGTAATAACAGCAGTTACCATCATGTCCTGTTTGTGGGCTTCTCAGAAGCATCTGGTTTATGGCCATGAGAAATACAATATTGAACCAGAAGAATCTTGCATCATCGTGGCTCTTCTTAGGTTCATATGTCTTGGCATTGTTTTGCTCAGATTTTAGCTTAAATGTTCATTTTTATTCATTTGCTGCTTATATAATTTTTAATGATTCTTTCAGAATGTTTCAAATTCTTCTACAATGCACAAGGATACGCTATGTGCAGTAAAGATGTCAAGATGGTATTGCTGGAAACAATGTTAGAAAGATATAGTACTAGGGTTGGTCAATTAAAGTTTAAATGTGTTAGAGGAGAGGAAGAGAATTTATGAAGATAGTCATGTTCCTAGAGCGGGAAGGGATGTATCATCAAAAGATACTCCCTCTTATTCTTATCTGTCTGGTTTAGATAGTTTCATGGAAGGTCTTTGAGAACCGTGGCCTTTTAAACAAACACATTTCCATGACTATATAACCATACCTTCTTGCCTTTTTGATGTGATGCATCATGCTGCTTGGCTATACATTTCACTGGTCCAGAAATCATGACACTACCCTTCATCTCTGTATCCTGTTGCTCCATTTGTTCTCACCACATAACTGAGGCTAACCACCCACCCTTCTCCAATCACCTGCTTCTCCTGAGGCTCCTAAAGACATTCTTTGGAATGAAGCCCTTTGCTTTTCCCTCCTGCTGGGCTCATGTTGTTCTCATCTATAGCTGCTCTTTACAACTGAAGGCGTCACAAGAGAGGGCAAAAGGGATTAGTGAGAACAGGTGCAGTATTCATGAAGTTCTGTGAGGTTCCTTGAAAGGAAATAGCCCTGGCAAGAAGCTGGCATATAGAGATTGCCAAGAATTAAAGAGGGAAAAATGGGTGGGCTATCTTTCCCCCTCTCTGTGGGTGTTATTTGTTCTTGCTCCATGGGTCTGTATCATCTATCACTCAGAATACATGTCTACAAGTATGAGGAGAGCTTACAAAATTCGCTGCAACTGTAAATTGTAGGCAGTCAACCACATCATCACCTGAGGACAAATTAAATCTGAGCCCTCCTTTTCATCAAAAGCAACTGCAAAGACTTGTGTTGATGCCCAGTTCTTTCTCTCCCTGCTCCCAGGCTATTTTGGAGGGGAAATCAGGGACAGATTTTATCCCAAAATGGCAATTAAGAGAGGACTTGGAGCTTCTATGTTAGCTCTGGAAAATATGCTATGATTGCTTGACTTGCTCATTTCATTAAACCCTTGCCTCATGTTCAGTAATTGTAAATGTTTGCTGCCATTCTCTCCCCTCTCCCCCACTGCGATTTGGGCTCCCAATACATCTGTATGAATGAGATGAATGTTGTTTTTGATTATAAAATTATGTCTGTTGATAATCTTGAAATGTACAAAACACACCATCATTTTACTGGTCCAGGATGAGTCTCATGATGCAGCATCATCATGAGATTTTATTTGAATTAAAATCTAGATGGGAGCCATAATTGAGAATCTGACATGCTACCTTCTGTGGAACTCAAATAATCCCCTTTCTCTCTTTAGGCCATTCTAGGAGTTTTGGGTCAGTCAGTACATTCCTCAAACAGAACCTTGTCATTTTCGCTAGAATAAAATTTTCAAGGTTGTTTAAGGAAAGCCAGACAGAAGGGACACACACCTTTGGTGTAAATAGGATACTTTTGTCACATAAATATGAAGTATTTAATACTCAGCCTTCCTACCCAAAAGATAGGATTCTTCTAGGAAACCAAGGAGCCCCTTTCTCATATGCCTCTTACTTAGGATAGAAATCCTGGCAATAGAGAGTCCTGATCTTCCATTCTTCTTGGCTGCCTTCTCCTTCCTTGTTCTAGATAGCCCAGTATTCTAACCCATCTTTTCTGGTCAAGTCTCACCATCTCACTCCTGCCCAGAGAGCCTGGTGCCATCTCAGAGTTGGGTGCCCACCATAGAGGACAAGAGTAGTTGGGGGTTGCCAAAGGGTGGCACTGCATACTGTGACTTGGGGTTCTGATTCTGTGGCCCAGCTTACCAGTGCCCACTGACGGCAGAAAACCTGCTGGGTTAGGCCAAAGTGCATCTAGGCAGAGCTCAGCACTCTGTTCTTTCTGATTAGTGTCCTCAGCACCTACAAAGCATTGTTGCAAGGTTCAGAGGACTGCATATGGCTAATGGGTTAACAACTTAAGACATTACTGACCATTTTTATTGTAAGTACAGGTAGTCCTTGCTTAAGTCAGTAATTGGGACCAGTAACTTCATCACTAAGTGATGCAGTTGTAAAGTGTGATGTCATGAGATCATGCCAACTTATGATGGCAGTTGTGGCAATTCCAGTTGCCATCATTAGGTGAAT